AAATTGAAAATCTTTTTGAAATCAAATTTTATTTTTAAGTTAATTCTACATAAATCGAACTCATCTATATTTTTAATATCTATATATTTTTATTGATAATTCTCATATATTTAATTACATAAGTATTATGATAATAATAAATTATAAATTAGTAAAACTTTACAGGAATTAGTTTGTGGAATTCTAGAAAAAGGTTAAGAGCCTTAAAATTAATACCCAAGAACGACATTAAATTAGAATAATCATTGTAAGATTAAAATTTATAGAATAATTTTATTAAAAAATGAAATGAAGTGCTTAAAAGATCACAATATAATTTTTAAATGAAATCACCAAGAATAATGCAATCATTTTAATTATATAAGTTATAATAATACTGTAGATAAATTTTCCAATTCAAAATAATTACAAATTGTGAGTCGAATGTTAAATAACTAAAAAAAAGTTAATGCTAATCAAACCATATTCAAATTTTAAAGGTTAAATGATAAATTAATCTAACGACATATTATATCGAAATTTGTATCAAAAATTAATAAAAAAATCGTCAACTGCAGGATTCGAACCTGCGCGGGTAAACCCAATAGATTTCTAATCTACCGCCATAACCACTCGGCCAAGCTGACTTGTATGTAAGTATTTATCTTCAAAATTATAACCATTAAAAATAATAATCAAATTTTTTAACATTAATATCTTTTTTATAGTAAAATGTATATTATTATTTTAGAATTAACATACCTCAAATATTTCTTTGAATTTGAAGATGATTTTTGTATAAAAAAGAATAGGGTGAATTAATATATTTTATAAATATGACATTCTATAAATAGATGAGCATTTAAATAAAATAAATTTAATATATATTAGAACTAAGAGATATAAACAATGAAAAGCCCAATTTCCTTTGTGTATTTTTCTCTCCTGTTAATAACAATTAGTAGGTCTTAACTAATTTATAGTAATTTTCACGGAACTTTTACATCTGCAAGCTTTGGTATGTTATTGTTATATTAAGATAGGAATATTTACTAAAAGGATATTAACGGTTATTCTGTGGTAAGTTGTGGATTAAATAATGTCTTAAACATGATCCCATGCTCGCACTATGCCTTTAATAGTTTAACATCAAAAACTTTTGAGCTTCCGCCACATGATATAGTCAATCTGTCATTTAAACTTTGGATGTAATTATAATATTGTATAAATAGGATAAGCTCTGCAAGCTATTCCTTCTATTTGTATGTTGACAACGAACTTTATCTTCTAATCTAAAATTCTCTATACACTTTTACAAACGATTGTCCACCATATGAATCAAATAGAATATCTAAAAATATTATTCATTCCAGCACTTCTATTCAAATTACAATGGCCTCTGATTGGAATTAATGGGGCTTTTCTGAATTTAATTTAAATGTCGAAAATACCATTTATTATATTTGGAAATTAGTTAATTAATCGTTTAGTAAAAGAGGTTCTCCACTATATCTGTAGATGATGGGTGGATGACTAACAACATAGTTTCCTAATAAGTAGATTAATGCACAGGTATAATCAATAAGTAGATATAGATTTCA